GCTTGGAGCTGGCAGCCCCACTCCATCCCCGCCGGCGTGGGCATGGTCCTGGGGCACTGGCAGAACCCCTTGAACCTGGCCCCCGCGCTGGCCGGGAGGTGACCTGGGGGGACAAAGCATCTGCCTGTCTGGGGACGGGCGCTGGCTGCTGCCTCCTGCTCTTGTGTTCCAGTCACGGAGCGAGACAGGGCCGGGCATTGTCTGCCGGGAGCGGCATTCCCCATCGCCCCGACAACTCGCGGAGCACGGCTCCTTCTGGAGGAACTGAGGCCTTGTGGAGATAGATTTTTCCATTGCACAAGAAAATGAAATGTCTCCTTCCAAAGAATAAATAGATGGGAAGGAGTGAGCTGGTGCTGAGCGGGGCTCCGGCTGGGGTGAGCACTGCAGGATTGCGTGGAGCCGCAGCCAACGACCTGCTCCTCGCCGGGGCTGAGCAGATCCAGATGCTGCTGGGACAGCTCGGCGTCAGCACGCCTGCCGTGTCCCAGGGGGCGTTTGGGACCACGAGGGGGACACCCTGTCCCGCTTGGTGTCACATTGTGGGGCTGGGTAGGACGGAGGCTTCCCTGGTGGGTGACAGGCGGTCACTGACGCGCCGCTGCCCTCTGTCCCCAGAGAGCTGCGAGGGGGTGGTGTGCGGCCCCGACAAGGTCTGCAAGATGAAGCACGGGCGTCCCCAGTGTGCCTGTGCCCCCGACTGCTCCAGCCTGCCCCGCAAGCTGCAGGTCTGCGGCTCTGATGGCTACACCTACCGGGACGAGTGTGACCTGCTGACAGCCAAGTGCAGAGACCACCCCGACCTCGAAGTGATGTACCAGGGCAAATGCAAAAGTAGGTGCAGTCGTGCCCCAACCCCGCTGTGTCCCGTCCCCATCCTGTCCCTGTCCTGTCCCCATTCCCTGTGGTACAAGGAGGGAGGGTCTGTCCTGTACAGGGCCCTGCATGACATGGGTCTCGCTGCCCCTTGAGGGGACATTGCAGCTTGTTGGTGCAACGGGGTTTGGCCTTGCTTCAGGCTGAGCAGTAACAGTCCCTAAAATGTCATTTACAAACGTCAAGCCCCTTTTTTTTCCTCTTTTGTAAAGAGTGCAGCGATCCACCCAGCCCTGCCAAGAGCTGTCAGAAGGATTATGGTTATTTTTCCAGCCCTCCTTTCTGGAAGGCTTTGCCTGTCGAGCTCTGGGCTGCGCAGGGAAACGTGGGGCAAGAAATGGGAGTTGGGAGCTGCAGATGCCAAATCTTCCAATCCATCAGGGAAAGAGAGGAGGGTGGAAGGACGATGGGGGTGCACGAGCCTCCACCCTCCCCAGCAGAGCCCTGTGCAGGGCATGATCCTGCTGCTCAGGCTCCCTCCACCCCCGTGCGCCCTCATTCCAGCGCTGGGTCTGCTCCAGGGTGACCCTGCCCTTCCCTCTCGCCGGGGCCAGCACGGCAGCTGCCAGCCTGGCCGCAGTGGCTGCTGCTTCCCTGCCAAGGCACCTGCGTGCGGCCGCTGGCCCAGCCAGGTCCCGCTGCGCCGAGCGGGCTCAGCCCCGCGCTCCGCTGCTGCAGCTGGGCCTCGGCTCCTCCCGCCTGGCAGAGCTCTGGCCAGGGCTGAGCCTGGGGACTCAAGGTCATGAGCTCCCTTGTGCTCAGGATGCCGGCCCCTGCCGGCCCCTGCCCTTGGGAACAGCACCGATGGGGAGATCAGGACCCTCTGGCTCTGCTTTGTCCCCTGATAGCAAAAGGAGGGAAGGGACTGGGTTTCCCTGGGGTGATGCCCAAAGCCTGCCCGGGGTGAAGTAGAGCATGGCCATCCCCGGGGTCACTCCAACGCTGTGCTTCCCCGCAGAGTCCTGCTCCAGCGTGGTGTGTCCTGGCACACACACCTGCGTGGTGGACCAGACGGGCAGCGCCCACTGCGTGATGTGCCGCACAGCCCCCTGCCCCGAGCCCACCAGCCTGGACCACGCCCTCTGTGGCAACAACAACGTCACCTACCCCTCGGCGTGCCACCTGCGGCGAGCCACCTGCCACCGCGGCCGCTCCATCGGCGTGCGCCACTACGGCAGCTGCTCAGGTGAGCAGGGAGGGGCAGGGGGCAGCGGGCACGGACCCCCAGCGCCTGCTCGCCCCTCACACCCCCCTCACCGCTTCCCTCTGTTTCCAGCTGCGGCCAAATTCTCCGCAGAGACGGACAGCGTGGAGGAGAACTATGTGTGAATCGTCCCTCGGCCGAGGCGGAGCTGGGAGACAGGGGCATTATGTGTATATTGTACAAACCATATACCTGATATTTATTAAGATAAAAAAAGATCCTTATTTATCCCTGTGTATGTTAAGCAGTCGCAGGGGGCTCGATTCCCATCCTGCCGGCCAGGGAGCAGGGGAGGGGGCTCAGGGCTGGAGCCAGGCCGAGGTGGCCAGGCAGAGTGGTCAGTGCCCTCCCCTGCTGCCAGCGCGGTGTGGAGGGGTGTCCGTGGGCCCCCCCCACGTGTCCTTGGCCGGCAGCCCTGGGCCTATTTATTTTTGGATTAATTCTCGGTACTCTGCTGACGTTTCTGGCCAGGACCTCGAGGTCTAGAGGGAATCTGCACTTTCGCCTTCCCCGAGGGGCTCGGCCCCAGCTGCCAGTGGCAGGAAAGGCAGTGCACGCTGCATCAGATTGGAGAGAGATAGATATATATTTTTATATATATATATATATAAAACATAGGTATGTTATTGTCTCCTAAAGTTTCAGCATGTGTGTGTTCAAATGGATTTCAGTTTAGGTTTTCCTAGGCCCGTTCAGACCAGGCTCCCACCACCTTTGGAGGCGACGCCGGTGCCCGGAGGGCTGGTGCAGTGGCAGCCCTGGCTGGGGGGCACAACCATGCCCCTACTAGAGCCCATCACCCAGGGCAGCTGCCCCCAGCCCTCCTAATCCCTGCCTGCCAGAACAGCTTTGGGCACAGCCTGGGCTGCGGGGGGAGCTGGCCCTGTCCCCCCCCAGGACCCCCCCGTGGCCCCGCACCCCCTGCTCTGCCCACACCTGTATTTATTTTTACTCCTTCTCTCATTTCTTCCTTTGTCACCTGTGTAAATACCAGCTCAGCTCTGACACCAAAAAGCTCTTGACTTTATATAAATATCATATATATATTATATATAAAAATACCTTATTTTCTATTTTTGTATGACTGGGTTCTGACCCCCGAGGTAGATGCTTTGGGAACATCCACATTCCCTATTCCATATTGTTGGGGCATTTTACGGCTGTGTTATGATTTGGATTACAATTAAAAACCAGAATAAACAGTGCTGCGTGTCCGGTTTTGTTGGTGGGTTCTGGGGTCGCTGGAAACCTTGTTCTCCTTGTGGCTGTGCATCCACACCAAGGTTTTGGGGATGTGGGGAGCTGCATCCCCTCTGCTCCAGCTCCATGCTGGGGTTTTCCAGCCCAGCCGAGGCTGCTCCGTGCAGTGGGAGGGAAGGGGAGAGCAGGGAAGAGCAAACCCGCTCGGCAGATAAATCTGTTCCCAATCTCGGGCCGTGCCATGAGGGTTTGGTATTTCACAAAACAATTCCTGCCGGTAATTGGGTCCCGATGTGGGATGTTTCCCGGGCAGCAGCCTGCGGCTTGGCGTGCTGAGCTCCACAGGAACTGCTGCCGGATCCCCCTGGCCCGCATCCCCTGTGCCGGGGGCCAGCATGGCACAGCCCCCGACCCCTGGCCAATCCCCCCAGAGCCATCACCAGCCCGGCAGCGCATCACAGAGAATCCATGAACCATTTAGGTTGGAAAAGACATCTCACATAACCCAGGGTGGGCGTGGGGGGTTCTGCTACAGCCCCTGTCTGCTCGCCCAGCTCAGCAGCATCCCCCTCCTTTTGGCGGTGGGTGTTCAGGAGTTCTCAAAACACTGCCCATGCCTTTCTAGGTGCCACCACAGGCGGTGGTGTGTGGCCTGGGTTCCTCCACGGCCGCCGGCAGCGCTTCCTGCCCACGGCAGCTGCCGGTCCTGCCCGCCCCGCCGCAGGGTCCGGCCCCGGAGCGGCTGGCGGGTGGCTCCGTGCCGAGCCCGCGGGCACGGGCTGCGGCGGCAACGGCAGCTCCTGTGATGAGCGGGAGATTTCAGCTTCCAAAACACGGCTGTGAGTCAGGCGCCGCCTTCCCACCGGTTTTTGGGTGGTCTGGGACAAGCCGGGACAGGCGCCGGCTCTGCAGGCTCCCTGCCAGCGCGGATGCCCTCGGGCTGGCAGCGCTGTCCCGGCATTCCAGGGGGTCTCTGCCCCACGCTGTCACTGCCAGCACTCCACTGGGATTTGGGACTTCTTTGGAAGCTGGCAGCCTGGCAGGGATCTGTCCTCTGCTGGATGTCCCCAAAGCCACCGATGCCTGCGGCTTGCATCTCCCGACCCCGCGCAAGGCCCTGCAGCAGCCGCGGCAATTTGTGCCAGCAATTCGCCGATAAAACAAACAGCCAGGAGCAGGGAATGTCTGGGTCTGTCCCCGGAGACACCGGGCAGAGCCACACACGTGTCTCAGCTGAGAGCCAGCAGCGGCTCGGCACGCTCTCCGGCCACTGCGGGCGCCCAGCTCCGGCGGGGCGAGCGCCCGTGGGTGCGCGGGGGAGGCGGGCGAGGCTCCCGACGGGATCCCTGCGGGCTCGGCCAGCCCGGCGCAGCTGGGAGCCCGCCTGCCCCCGGGGGGTGTCTGTGGTTCCCCCTCTTTGGGGGGTCACGTCGCGCGGTGGGGAGGGTGCGGTGTGGGACGGGATGGAACAGGATGAGGCGGGACGGGATGAGACGGGCTGGGACGGGATGGGGAGCCACACCCCGGCGGGAAGGCAGCTGGGGATGCTGCTGGGGTGGCAGCACCTGGATGCAGATCCTGGCTCCTCTGGGGCACGGCCTGCACTCCCCTCCCTCCTGCATCCCCTGCTCCATCCACACATGCCCAGGACAAGTCAGGGGGACCAAAACACAGGGGGAGCAGTGGGATGGGGACTGAGGGTTTATTGAGGAATGTAAATTTTGCCACAGCAGGAGGATGTATGGGGGGTTTTGGTGTAGCCTAGGGGGTACATTAACACCCCTTGCCAATGGGCAGAGAGGGGCTCCAGCCCTGACCTGGGTCAAGAAACCCCGAGCATCACCTCCCAGCGCCTCCAGAGCTGGAGGATGTGGAAATTCTGGCCCTCTTCTCCCCTCCTGTGAGACATCTCAGCCCCTCTTCCCACAGCCTGCCTGCCCCCAGGACTCCCAGCCACCCTAGGGCTTCAGCCACCCCTCCCGAGGGCGGAACCTTCGCACAACGTGATGCACCCAGTCAATGTAGTTGGAGATCTTGGTGTAGATATCAGGGAACCGGCGGTCCCCACATCTCTCCCCAGAGAAAGAGACGATGCCATGAACCTTGTCCTTGAAGACCAGGGGTCCCCCGGAGTCACCCTGCAGAATGAGGGGGTGGGAGGGAGATCTGAGGGTCTCCCAGAGGGGGACAGCGTGGGGCAGGGGGCAGGGCTGCACTCACGGTACAGACTCCCTGCAGAGTGGTGTCGCGGCTGGCCCCGCACAGCATGTTGGCCGAGACTTTGCCCCTCCACAGCGTCCGGCAGAGGTTCCTCTTGACGATGGTGGTGTTGGTCTCCATCAGCTCCGTGGGCTGGTCTCCAAAGTTGGAGGTGTCCCCCCAGCCCATCACGGAGCAGACAGTGCCGGGTTTCAGGTCGATGTGTGGGGAGGGCAGGCGGATCCTCTTCACGTACTTGTTCAGCGTGGCCGACCTGTTCAGCTGGGGGGCAGCGAGGGCGTGGGTGGCTTTGCTTCTGGGGCAGAGCCCCCACAGCTGCTCCTGCCTGGTTCTCCCTCCCACCCCGGTTCACCGCTCCTGCTGACCCCCCCAGCCCTACCCTTCCCTCTAGAGAGGCTGGGCCCCTCCCTGTCAGCCCCTTTGCACTGGTCCCAGTCTGCTGTAGAGACTTGGCTGCCCGGGAGCCGCTGACCCGGACAGAGTCGGTGTGTCCTCAGTGCCTCCATCACACCCCATGGCGCGGTCCTGCTTCTCCGGAGAAGCACTGACATCTAGTGTCGGCTCGGTCCCTCGTGGGGCACCCCACCTCCTCCCGGTGCCCTGGACACCCAACCTCCTCCCGGTGCCCTGGGGTCATGGCCACTCAACCTCCTCCCAGTGCCCTGGGGCTGTGGGGCACCCCACCTCCTCCTGGTGCCCTGGGGCCATGGGGCACCCCAGCTCCCTCCCAGTGCTCCGGGGCCGTGGGGCACCCCAGCTCCCTCTCACACCCCAGGGCTGCGGGGTACCCCACTGCCCAGCACAGACTCACCCGGAGCAGGCGGATGTCGTTGTCCGCAGCGCGGAGGTTGTAGAGAGGGTGGGCGATGGACTCGACCACGCTGAAGATCTGCTGGGACTCCTCGGGCTCCTGCAGCCGCTGGGCCCCCAGCACCACCCGCACCGAGGGGCTGCGCCTGTGGCAAGGCGGGGCTCAGAGGGCGCTGCTGTGGCTGGTGGCCATCGGGGAGGGGGGGATTCAAGGGGGACTCAAGGGGGAGGTGGGCAGCTTAACCCTTGGGATGGGGTTATTGGTTAGAAGGGGCCACACCATGTCCAGGGACACGTGTCCCACGTGGGGACAAGGCTCACCTGGGAATGAAGCAGTGGGCAGCTGTCATCACCCACTTGGGCCACACCAGGAAGCCCCCGCAGACGTGCTCCCCGTCCATCTGGATGGAGGCCATGAAGGGCCGGGAATGGGGTGCTGCCGCCTTTCCCCCGATGATCTGGCTCCCCTGGGTGCCTGGTGGGTGCAGGTGATGGTTGGAGTCCAGGGTTCCCATCTCCCACCCTGGGGATGTGCCCTGGCACCCCCGTTCTCTCATTACCTGCCGAGGCCAGAGCTGGCAGCAGGATGGAGCCTCCCAGGCTGAGGATGAAGAGCCCAGCTGTGACCATGGTGGCACAGACAGGGCCACTGCCACCACCGCTGGGGCTGCTCGGGGTGGGGGTGCTTAAATCCGTCCAGGGGCTGAGCCTTGGGGTGGGGGCGGGTATTTCCCTCCTGCTTCCTCCTCCGCGTGTTGCTGCTTTGTGCAATTCAGGGGTCGGGGAGCTCCGTGCAGCTTCCCCTGGAATGGGAGATGAGGAGCAGAGCAGCTTCCCAGCCCTGACTCCCCTTGTGCCTGGGATGAAACCCCTCTCCGCAGGGAGGTGGCAGCAGCGGGGCCCCAGGACATCTTTCAGACTCGACAGTGTCCCCTGGACTGCTGTGAGTGACACAGGGACTGTGCTGTGCTCCCATCCGATGCCTCTTTCAGCCCCTCCAGACCCCGGTGGCTCTGGGATGATGCTGTGGGCAGAGGGGCAGTTTCCTTCCTCTGTTCTGCATTGACCTGGAACGCAAAAAGGGGGGCAGGGGGGTGGGGGAATATGTTGACCCTCACTGCAGAGCCCAGCTTGCTCTGGGGTGAAGAGCAGAGTTCTCACCCGGCAGCGGGCAGATTTCCCAACGGAGGGTGGCTTGGGGCTTCCTGCGGCAGTTTGCCCATTGTGGCCGTTGGGTTGGGAAATGGGGGAGCGGAAAGGGGGAACAAAGAGTCCCTGGTTCCCGGAGTAGGGCAGGGCAGAGTGGCTGCACTCACAGGAGGGGGTCACACACTGCCAGAAGCTGTGTTCTTGGAGGGGCTCTGAATGCAGCCCCTCCAACCCGCCTCGCACCGGGCACTGCACAGCCAGGACCCGCTTCGGGACCCCCCAGCAGCTGCCACAGCTCCGGGGACCCCCGAGGTTGGGTGGGGGGCGGCGGGCCGGGACCCAGCTGGGACCCCAGGAGCAGATGCAAGCCCGGCGCGCCCCGAGGCCGGATGATGGGCGGCGGCAGTGGCGGGGCGCGCCCGGCAGACGGAGCTGTGCGGGAGGGAGGCGGGAGCACCGGCGCGGTCCCGACATCCCTGCGCATCCCGCAGCCGGGCCCTGAGCGCCGGGACGCCGGCGGCCGCCGGCCCCGCTCCGCCGCTCCCCGACCCCGCCGGAGCCGCCGCCGGGACCATGGAGTGAGTACCGGAGCCGCGCCGGGACCCCGGCACCGGGCCGCGGCCCCCCCGGGCCCCGCCGGCTGAGACCGCAGTAGCGGGGAGGGGGGAGCGGGGAGCGGGGGCCGGGACTCGGGACCCCCGCGCCGGGGCTGCGGGAAGCTCGCTCCGCCGGCTCACGGAGCTCGTACCGGGGGCTCGTACGCCCCCGATGCCGGGGCTGGGGAGTCCGAACCTGGGGTCTCGGATCCCCCTGCTCCTGGGCACTCAGCACCCCAAAACAGGGGGGCTCGCATCCCCCTGATTCCGGGGATTCAGGACTCCAGTACTAGAGGTTTTTATCCCCCTATGCTGAGGCTTGGGACCCCAAAACCGGGGGTGGGGCTCCCCCGGTGCCGCTCAGCAGGTGCGGCCCCTCCCCGGTCCCGGAGGGCCGGCCCGGGGGGCAGCAGCAGAGGCCCCGGTGCGGGTGCGGGGGTGCGGAGAGTGCGAGGGGTGTCGGGGCTGGCAGCGGTGCAGGAAGCGGGGGGTGGGGAGGGCGTTTATTTTTGTGTTTTGAACCTGTTGTTGCTGCTGCGTGTGGTGGGGTGAGTGGGTGGAAAGAGCTGCGGACCCCTCCCTGCACCGCACCCCCAGCCCCTGCCCGGGGAACCGGCTGTGGCTGGGGGATCCTCGTGAACCGGGTCCCAGCGGAGAAGTCTGGACAGACGGACACTCGGAGCCCGGCCTCATCCTTTGTGTGCTGCGGTGGGGCCCTGACCGGTCGCTGGGAGCTTGGAGCCGGGCGGGTGGGGGAAGGACGGAACAGGCAGAGGCCACTAGGGGCTTGTGGCCACGGGCTGTCCTACCCGCCTGCTGGTTTTGCCCCTTTGGGGACGCCAGCAGCTGCTGCCAGGATGGCACAGGGCTGGGGGGCTGCTCGAGGTGCTGGAAGCCAGCGCTGGCCCTGTCTCACCCAGGCCTTTCCTTCCCTCCCGTGGCTCTGGTGCCCACCATGGTGAACACCCCAGCAGCTGCCTGGGTTTGGCACTGGCTGTTCCTCCAGGCAGCTCGGGGTCAGCCACCCTCTGCCCCTGGTGGGCTCCTCATCCTGCAGCGATCCACTCGCCAGCGGCTACTGACACCACGGGTGTTCAACAGGTCCCTCTCAGCACTGCCTGGCTCCCACCTGGGAGCCCCCAGAGGCCGGGGGGCACTGGCGAGAGGTGGGCTGGGGGTGTCCTGGGCTCAGGGTGGGCTCTGGGGCTGGAACTGAGTAGGGGGCACCAGCAGGGATGCGGGGATGTTGTGGGAATCGGGGTGAAGCGACTGGGGGACTGGGGAGGCAGAGAGGCTCCCCGTGCTGCTGGAGGGGCCAGAGGCAGGGCCAAGGCTCCGGGCAGCTCCACGGCGCCACAGCCCCTGCAGGAAAGAGCCTCTTTGGGGAGGAAAAGGTGCGTGATTTGCCAAAAGGCAGCAGCGAGGGGAAGGGCAGAGCCGAGGGGTGTGACGTGCCCTGGGGAGGGGGTGAGGAGCTGCCGGGCTGGGCTCGGGCTCTCCTGGGGCGGCTGGAGCTGGGGCTGAGCTGGGGAATGGTGCTGGACAGGCTGGTGGCTCCTGCTCCAGGCTCCACATTCACCCTGCTCTGGGCCAACCCTCCCAGCAAGGGCCAAAGAGCCCACGGAGGGGTTCCCCTGCCAGCTCCATACACTGGACCTGCCAGCGTCTCTTTCTTTTGAGTGAAAATCTGCGAGTGACTCTGGGTGGGGGGCACAGCCACGAAGAAAAACAACAAGACTCCTCCAGCCACAGAGCTCCAGAGCCTGGCTGAGGGGCTGGAGGATTAGGGGGGCCCCAGGGCAGCTGGGGACACGGCAAGGTGCTGCCCTGCTGTTGGCCTGGCTCTGTGGCAGCCAACGGGTGCTGGGGCGGGCACTGCTGCCTTTGCCCTGGCTCCTGCTTTGCTTTGGCACGGGCAGTGGCTGGAGGAGGGTCCTGGCTGCCACAATCCACTGGTGCCCAGGGAGGTTTGGCAGCAACTTTCCAACTCTGGTAAAGGCTGTGCTGGTCCCACTGGAGCTGCTCTTGTGCCCTCTGCTCCCGCTGCTGTCAGTGCTGGTGAGCAGCTGGAGATCCTGCATTCACATCTGGCTGCTCTGCTGGTTTGTCTCGCTTGCTGCTCTCCCCTTGGCTTTGAGGGTCTCCTTGGAGTGAGGGCTCTCCTGGTCCTGCCTTCCCTGATGGGAAGGTGGCAGTTGCAGGGGGAGGAGGGAGATTTCTGCCTGAGAAATAACCCATGAGTCCTGTGTGAAGGGACTCAAGCCCTTGCTCTCTGGGGGATCGAGGGAAAAGTAAAACCCAGGCCAGACCCCGCTGCCTCCTGGCTAGCAAGGAACCAGAAGGGGTCAGCTCTGTCCTGTCCCTGTGTCCAGCTGGAGCAGCACTGTCACCCTCCCCAGCTGCCCCAGAGGAGCCCATAAAGCCCACAAAAGCACCCCACAAAAGCACCCCACAGCAGCACCCAGCCCTGCTTGGGGCTGGCAGACCATGGGGTTCAGAGCTCAGCTGCATGATGGAGCCTCTGGGCTGGACCTGCCTTGCTGGGAGGAACTGGGAGGAACTGGGAGGAACTGGAGCAGGTTTCCTGGGAAGCCGCTGGTGCTGGTGTTCCTGCTTCCTGGCCAGAAACAGCCCCTTTCCCCAGGGGGTGGGGGTTCATGTGGCTGCAGCTGAGCTGGGAGCTGTGCTGGGAGCTGAGCCGGGGCTCCAGCAGCGGAGGTGCCCCAGGAAAGCCGAGCAGGTGCCGTGCCCTGGGACGGGGCTGAGTGGAGGCACCAGGGCTGGAGGCACAGCCCAGATTCCTGAGTCTCTTCAGTGCATCCAGAGACAAGCAGCCCCCAGGTCCCAGACAGGAGCCACTGTCAGGGGTAAGGATGAGCCTGGAGGAGGGAGAGGAGCCGGGTGGATCCTGCCCCAGACAGGTGTTTCCTGACAGAGCGTGGCTGGACGAGGGTTGGGCCCAGCCCCTGGGCTTGGCAGCGAGGTCTGAGCTCCCTGTGGGGTGTCAGGGCTCCCAGGGGTGTCTGTGCCTGCATCCACGTTCCTGCTGGCTCCTTGGAACATCATGTGTGTCTGTGTTCAGGAACAGGAACCCAGGGATGGCTGGTGACAGGAGACAGGTGCCACATCCTGGCCAGTGCCAGGAGGTGCCACATCCATCCTGGCCAGTGCCAGGACTGCCTGTCCTGGCCAGACGGTGCTCCTGGGGGTGGGGAGAGGCCGGCTCCACTCTCATTCATGAATCGTGGGGGGAGTTTCCTGGTGGAGCCTTGCTCCTCTAACTGGAAGGGAGCTGGAAACCCAAGTGTTTGGAGGGCACTTGAACCATTGTTTGAAAGATCTGTAATTTTCCAATCAAACTCCCTCCCCAAGCCTCCGTTCATCAAATATTCATGGGATCCATTTTCTCCTGGCACTCCCAGCCCACGTCTCAGCCCGAAGAATCAATCAGGCAGCTCCGCTTGCTCTAATGCATCTGCGTTTTCGGGAGCCTGGGGCTGCCATCTCCTCCCCCCGCCTCCCCCTGTCCCTGTCCCTGTCCCCTCCCCGGGCAGCGGCGATGGCTGAGGCTGCGCAGGGAAGGAGCGATGGGCACTGGGGTGATGCAGCAGCAGCAGGGGGAGGCAGACAGTGTGGGGCAGGGCAGGAGCAGCCCCCCAGCAGCAGGACCCGGGCAGGGTCCCCACCCTGTGCTGGCCACGCGGCTCGTTGGCCGCTCGCATTTCTGGCCGTCCCTGCCCGAGCCGCTGCCGCTGATGCATTTGCCTTCATGGTCGATGCATGGCGGCCCCGGGGCGGCTGCAGCCCCCTCCCCTCCCTCCCTTCCCTTCCCTCCCGCGCCTGCCATCGGGGGCGTTCGATCCCGGCCCCGCTGTTAATGGCTTTGTGACAGAGCTCTGCAGCCTCCCCACGGCCGCGTCACTCCGGGCCCGGCTCCTGGCATGGAATGGAGCTGGAAATCAGCGCTGATCCCTCGATTGCTGCCTTTACCACGCACCCTGGACCTGCACCCATGCAGGGCGCTCTCCTGAGTTCCCCCAGCTTGGAGCTGAGTGGGTGGGGAGGGAGGGGAGGTCAGGGGAGCAGAGGAGCAGCTTGAAACGGCTCTTCACACATTTGGATGAGCTAATGGGAAAAAACGGAGGAAGGCAAATAAACATTATTGTTTCATGTCAGGCGGGAGGAGACAAAAGGTCACGGGCTTCCCTTGTGATGGTGGGAAACGGCAACATCAGCAGGGCTGGAAAGAGCTGGAGAGCCCAGGGAGAGCACGGGCTTGTGGACAGGCGTGTGTGTGCTCACACGTGTGTGTGGGTCCAGCCTCGGGCCTGGGGATGGCTGCTGGGAGCTCCCAGGGCATCATCCCCCATGTCCCTGCTCTTTCTCCCTGCTCCTTGTCTGGGCTGGTGGCTCCTGAGGAGCTCAGTGGCCCTGGGATCACCTTCCCACCCTTGCTGGCACCCAGGATGGATCAGGAGCACCAGAACCCCTAAGGAGGCTCCGGTGATGCCACAGCTCTGCCCTGCCAGTGCTGTCAGGGTGCCAGGCCTGGGGAGAGCACCCCAGCCCTGGGGGTGCCTGTGGTCCCTCTGCCACCACGAGTATCCCCCCCACATCCCCTTGAGCATCCCCCCACATCCCCTTGGCACTCTCCCGTTGCCATAGCGCCGTTGCCATGGCACTGTTGCCAGGGAACCATTGCCAGGGAACCGCCTTCATTAGCCACAAGGGCCGGCGGCAGCGGGGGCCCATCACAGCGACCCCCAAGACGGGTCATGGCAGGCAGGATGGGGGTTTTGGGGAGCCCGGGACCCCCTCCCTCCACCTCAGCACCTGATCCCAGCAGGCAGGGACTGGGGGTGCCGGGGTGGTCCCTGCTCAGCCCCCCTCGATGGATCAGAGCCCCCAGGGCAGGGTCTAAGCAGTTTGCAGCGAGGGGCATCCAGCCTGTTCTGCGTCTCTCCCCGGGCCAGGAAGATTCCTGGCGTCTGACCTGGGAATGTGGAGACTGTAGCAAATAATGGAAAATAAAGAGGATGGAGGAGGGAGGAAAAGCAGAACAGAATGTTTCAGGAATGCTGTAAAAGTTTGGATCCGTGGAGCAGGGCAAGATCCAGGAGAGAAACAGGGCCCAGTTCAACACCCTGGGAGCGTGGGGTGCCAAGGGCTGGACTGAGGGGTCCTGTGGCGCCAGAGCAGGAGGGAACCCGTGCTGATGGGCAGCCCTGGGTGTGTGGGGCTGGTGAGGGACACACGGGACACAGGGGACACACGGGACACACGGGTGTGAGAGCGGTGCCTGCGCCTGCGCCGGTGGAACAGTCACAGCGTCGCTGCAAACAGCACGAAAATAACACCACAAAAGCGACACCTTCCCCGCTTGTTTTCCTGGCCTGGATTTTGCGCATCGCAGGGATCCCCAGGGTGTGGGGTGAGGGGAGGACGGCGGCTCTGAGTTAATTGCTGACTTCGAGGAGGGAGCAGGCGGAGGCAGGGGCTCCTCTCACCCTGCAGAGCCCGTTTGAGCCGTGGGAAAGCCTGTGTGGAGCCCGTGTGCGGGCACATCCGTGGCTGGCACGTGGGCTCAGAGCCCAGGGTGCCATGTGTGGGGTTCAGCACCCCGAGCCCGCCCTGTGTGTAAAACCACCTTCGGCAAACTCCCTCCCTGGGAGCACGGAGTCCACCTCTCCGTCCCTTGCTCTAGGAAGCAAGCAGAGATGATCCATCGCCTGACAATACCTCAGTGCCTCCCACCCTAATTACCGCCACAGCTCAGCACTTCATTAGCACCGTCTGGCGAGCAGCCAGCGGCTCCTGTGGCTCTGGAGCATCCCGGTCCCAGGCGGACCCGCACCCGGTGCCCCGCGGCGTGGGGGCTCCTGCCGGGCCCGGGGCTGCTCCGCTGCTGGGCTGGCCCGGGTCACCTACCCTGGGGACACGGGAAGGCGGGTACGTGGGCAGGTGGCTGCGGGGTTGGGGGATAAGCCCTCCGGAGCACCGGGGGGAGCTGTGCCAGGCCAGAGGGGCGGCTGCCACCGGCGGCGTCCTGGCACGGCAGGGCTGCAGAGGTGCCCGGTGCTGTGCCCACGGATGGCACGGGGAGCAGAGCCTGCTGTGGTGTGTGTCCGAGTGTGTCCGTGTGTCTGTGCACGTGAGTGTATCGGTGTGTGCACATGTGTGTGTCAGTGTGTCTGTCTGTGCACATGAGTGTGTCTGTCTGTGCACACGAGTGTGTTGGTCTGTCTGTGCACACGAGTGTATCTGTCTGTCTGTGCACAGGATGGCACGGGGAGCAGAGCCTGCTGTGGTGTGTGTCCGAGTGTGTCCGTGTGTCTGTGCACGTGAGTGTATCGGTGTGTCTGTGCACGTGTGTCGGTGTGTCTGTGCACACGAGTGTGTCCGTGTGTCTGTCTGTGCACGTGTGTTGGTGTGTCTGTGCACACGAGTGTGTCAGTGTGTCTGTCTATGCACACAAGTGTGTCAGTGTGTCTATCTATGCACACGAGTGTCTGTTGTCTGTCTGTGCACATGTGTGTGTCAGTGTGTCTGTCTGTGCACATGAGTGTGTCTGTCTGTGCACACGAGTGTGTTGGTCTGTCTGTGCACACGAGTGTATCTGTCTGTCTGTGCACATGAGTGTGTCCGTGTGTCTGTCTGTGCACGTGTGTCGGTGTGTCTGTGCACACGAGTGTGTTGGTCTGTCTGTGCACACGAGTGTGTCTGTGTGTCTGTCTGTGCACATGAGCGTGCTTGTGCCTGTGTGCACAGCCCGGAAAGGTCACAGTCGGGGAAAGGCGTCAGCAGCCAAGAAAGGCTGGGGATGGAAAGCTGAGCCAGACTGAACGCAGGCGGCCAGGAGCGTCCTGCTCCAGCCCCTCCGTGCTCACGGGTTCCATCTGCGCCACGGCAGGAGTGGGTCTGCATGAGATGAGTGCTCCAGGGGCTGGGCAAGGCGCCTGGCCCGGGGATTTGGGCAGGATGGGGCCAAGAGGTGCCTGGAGGAGCCGTGCAGCGAGGGGTGCTTGGCTCCAGGAGAGCGAGGAGGAAGCAGCTGGTGAAAGGGAAGGGCTCAGCCTTTGTCCGTGTAGCACAGCGTGTGGTTTGCTGGTTGCACGCTGTCCCAGTGACCTGCCACTGGTGTCACTCCTCACAGCTGCTCTCTGCTCTCTGCAGGGTCGTGGAGGCCAGCACCCTTCAGCAGGAGAGGCTGCAGGCCATCGCGGTGAGTCCCTGCTCAGGCCAGCGTCCCCGTGTCCCCAAGGCATCACCTGCAGCTCATGGGGCAGGCACCGGTGGGGAGGGGGCTGCAGGTGCAGGAGGGCTGGGGCAGGTGCTCTGCCACAGGCTGGGGGTCTCCAGCAGCTGAACAAGGACTCAGAATGGCCCGTGCCAGTGTGCCCCTCTGGGGGGCTCTTCTTGGGGTGTCGTGGCTTGGCTGCACGGTTGAAACAGGGACAGAGCAAGCAACAGGCAGCTGGGAGGTTTAATTAACGAAGCAGCGCCTTGACGAGCCCCAAGTGAGGGAAATGAGTGATGATTCCCTCCCGCTCCTTCCCCAGGAGGGGCTGAGGATGGTGCTCTCCAGCCATGCCTGGCATGGGCACTAGTAATTATATTAATTAGGGAGCAGTTGGGGGCCCTGCTGAGTGACCCCTCCCAGCTCAGAGCAGGCACGGGGCTGGTTGAACCCACTGCAGCCCCACTGCCCAGCCCAGCCGGCAGCCAGCCCATCTCTGGCACACAAAGGGCAAATTGTTCTGGACCAGAGGAGAAAGCGCCGGGTGACGCGTCCGGGCTGGGTCTGACTCTGCTGAAATGATCTGGAGCAGCCCCAGGACGGGTGGCAGCGAGGGGGGGACGAGGTAGAGACCGCGGGGGCTGGCAGCTCGCTCAGTGGGGCCGGCCGAGGGGAAGGTGACATTTTGAGATGGTGAACAGAGCCCAGGCTCTGCCCCAATTCCCCTACACCCTCAATGCCTCAGTTAGTCCCAGGGAGAGCAGGGATTTGATACCAGCCTTGCTCTGGGGCGTTCCCAAGGCTGGTAACCCCATTCCCCGGGGGCAGCCCCTTGGCCCCGCTCCCCCCTGCCCGGCCATGCCCGGTGCTCACCCCCTCCCCGCGCCGACCCCGGCCCCGCCGCTCCCGTCCCTCCAGGAGAAGCGGAAGCGTCAGACGGAGATCGAGAACAAAAGGCGGCAGCTCGAGGATGACAGGAGGCAGCTGCAGCATCTCAAGGTGAGGAACCTCCCCGGGAGCCCCCGGGAGCCTCCCCGGCTGGGGAGGGCAGGACCGTGACCCCCTTCTGCTCCCCAGTCCAAGGCTCTGCGGGAGAGATGGCTCCTGGAGGGGGCCCCAGCTTCTGCCACCGAGGAGGAAGAGGCCATGAAGAAACAGATGCAGGAGGATGAGGTGAAGACCAAGGAGCTGGAGGAAACCATCCAGAGGTAACAGGGCCGGTGTGGGGCTGGATGTTGGGGTGCAGTGAGAGAGCACCCAAGTCCCTCCAGAGACCCCTGGGCAGGTGGGTGCTGGGATTCAGGTGGATCCCATGTGCTGGGCATGAGGCAGGGCACGCTGAGCTTGGAGCTGCTGGGAGAGGAGGTTCCACCATGGAGCTGCTGGGGCTCAGCCTGGAGCCTGAACCCTGGCTGGGTTCTTCTTGCCAGCTTTTCTCCAGAGCCTGCAGCCAGACCCAGAGCCTGCCCAGCCCTGCAGCCCCTCTGGGCATGGCCATCCCCAGCTGTGCTCTGCCTTGGGTGTCAGTGGGAGCCACAGGGTGGGGAGCTTTGGGCTGGGATGCCCGGGAGGCTGCTGGGTGCCCACCCCCTCGGTGGCACGGTGCTGGCTCCCACAGGCTTCTGTCCTCATCGCGGTGTCCCAACCCTTGGGAAGGGGTGCGGGGAGGCTGAGAAGGGGGTGGCTCAGCCCCTGCCCGCCCCCCTTGTCCCTGGGCAGCCGCAGGCGGGGCCCGGAGCCCCGGCCGGGCTCGGAGGTGTCCCGGCAGCGCAGCAGGAATGCAATCAGTCACGGTGGTGCCGCTAATTACCGAGCATCGGTGCAGAGAGGGGTCAGGCACGAAGGGGCCTTTGTGTCCGGCTAATGGCGCGGTGCATTCCTCGCCGGCGCCTGTGAGGAGCCCGGGGGAGCTCTGCCGGGGCAGGAATCCATGGGACTCCCCGGAGCTCTGCTCCATCCCACTGGGGCTGTGCTGCCAGGCTGGTGGCTGAGAACTGGAGGTTGCTCTCGTGGAAGCTCAACCAGGTTTTGAGGGACACGTGCAGGAGCAGAATGATGATGGAGCAGCCTTGCTCTGGCCACCAAGTGAGGCACCACCAGTGTGCAGGGGTCACTCCCCCTGCCCAGTGCCCACGGGAGGGTCTCTGCCATCCATTGGTGCTGAACCCATCGGCTTCTCCTCTGCAAAGAGACAGTGGCAGCCGTGCCAGAGTCTGTGTGTCCCTGCACCCAGGGGACAATCTGTGTGTCCCCTCTCCCCTGTGGCTGCCTGCACCACAGTTACCTGTCCCACACTCCCCTCGCCCTCTCAGCCCTGACTCTCCCTGCAGGCTGGAGAAGGAGCTGGAGATGCTGGAGAACAGCAGCTCAGTGGCTTCCACCAAGGAGAACCTGTCAGAGGCAGCAGGCAAGGAGGAGAAGAAGGCTGAGGCCGTCCCCAACACGCAGAAGGTGGGCACGGCTGCTGGCCATGGGCAGGGCTGCCAGCAGTGGGGTCGGGGCTCTGGTGGGGATGGGTGGGTGTGTGGGTGGTGGGTGTGCAGGCAGGGGGGCTGTGGCAGGTCCTGGAAGCTCCTATAACCTCTCCCTTCTGTTTTGCAGAGTCCCCTGGGCACAGTTAAGGGTAGGTGAATCCTGACCCCCCTCGGCCGTGTTTCAGCACCAACCACTCCCTCCTGCTGCCCTGAGGCCACATGGGCGGGGAGAGCCAGACAAGAGCCCTGTCCCCTTGTCCCCTCCCGGGCAGTGGTGCCCTGGGTGGGGGAGCCCTCCCAGGTGCCAGCCGTGGGGGGACACTCTGCCCTCCCTGGGGCCTGACCCGTGGGCACACCCGGCCTCAGGTGGTCGTCTCTCCTCTCCATCTCCAGCCGACAAGAGGGTCTCCAGCAGCCCCATGAAGGCAGTGGAAGGCAGTGAGATGATGAAGGCGGGTAGGTGCCCGCTGTGCCCTGGCAGGAGCGCTCCTTCCAGGCTGCTTCCCCTCCCCTCTGCACCGCAGCCGCTGCCCGCCGCGCCGCTCGATGCCTTTCCAAGCCCAGGGCAGAGAACATCCCTCACTGCAGACACAGGGTTTGGGTTTGCTTTCACCCCACGGCTGGTTTGTGGTTCAGAGCCCTTCTGCCTCAGCCCTGTTCCGTGTTTCATCCTTCCTGCTCTGTTTGCAGCTTCTCAGTGCAGGGGTGAGGCAGCAGAGTGGCAGCCACAGGGGCCTGCGGGGTACACGGGGCTGAGCTGGGGGGGCTGCAGCCAGCTCTGCTGCTGGAGGGGTTTGCTCTGCTTTGGGGCAGTGGTTCAGGCCAGACCACAACAGCAGCATGGGGCAGAGCCCATCTTGGGATCCTCGGAGCTAAGCACCATGCACAGGGCTGAGGGGACCCTGCTGCTGGCAGGGGCTGGCCAGGAGTGGAAGGAGAGATGCCAAGAATCGCCCATCCCATGGGGGCAGAGGGGCTGTCCCAGCAGCAGGACCCTCAGTGTGGGTTGCACCTCCTTGAGCATGAACCTGGCTCCAGCCCAGGCCCCACGGGCAGCACTGCTCACTGCCTGGACAGACAGACATGGCTCAGCCCGAGAACCGCAGCAGCCCTGGAGGTAAGGTGATGCCAGCAGCACCAGGATGGACACGGGTCCCAGGAGGAGGGAAGTGCCAGGGATGTCACACCCGCCTGTGCCATTCACCGCTCCTCGCTGCCGCCTTGCTAACACTGCTGAGCATCGCTGAGTCCTGCTGGGCACCACTGAGCCCTTCCAAGCCCTGCTGGGCACTGCTGGGCACTGCTGAGCCCTGCTGGGCACCACTGAATCCTGCCAAGCCCTGCTGGGCACTGCTGAGCCCTGCTGAGCACCACTGAGCCCTGCTGGGCACCACAGCGCTGCCGCCACGCGCCGTCCCGCCGCCATCCGCAGAGCAAGGGACGGGGAGGGCCAGGGCCGCCGTAACTCGCGCTGTCCTCTTTGTGTCCCAGCCATGTACTCGGTGGAGATCACGGTGGAGAAGGACAGAGTGACTGGGGAGACCAAGGTCCTGTCCAGCACCACCATGCTCCCCCAGAACCACTGTCTGCAGGGGGTCAAAGTGTACGAGGATGAGCTGAAAGGTACGGGCCAGCCCGCGCCGGTGGCAGGGGACGAGGGAGCGGCCACCTGAACATCCCAGCGGGCACCCAGCAGGGTGAGGAAGTGCGGGGGCTGCTCCTGACAGCTTTGCCAGCTCTGTGAGAGCAGTCCCTCACCAGCCCCAGTCCAGTGGATCACAGGATCGTCATGGCAGCATAGTGTGGATGGTCCAGATGGGCCAGCCCTGGTTTGCACATCGTGAGCCTGCATTGCTGGAGAGCAGAGAAGAGGATCTGTGGTGTCCAAGAGTCAGGAGCCTGTCCCGTGGGCAGGGAATGTGCACTATCACCACCTTGGCCTGTCCCAGAGGCTGGCAGCAGGGAGCGTTGCTGATTGGTATGGTAGAAGTGCAGCAGCAGGGACTGGTCCCTGTCTGCAGCTCCTGCTTTTGGGAACATCTGGGAACCTGCTCCAGAGGGCCTCGTGAAATCCAAGGGATCGTCGTGGTGGCAAGGACCAGCCATGGAAGTGGGGCATCCTACTGGGAACTGTGGTGCCTGAGTGGACCAACCCCTCTTCAAGGAAAACACAGCGCTGCCATTCACCCCCTCGGTGTGGCCATGGCCGTGCTGGCCCTGCCAGGCTGGGCACTGTCCCTCACTCAGTGCTGCCCACTGAGGCAGCTGTTCTGACCATCAGGTCATGCCCCAGGCCAAGAGGAAAACGCAACGAGCCCTTGGTCACTCTGGCCAGGGCGCACATCTCTGCCTCCAGAGCCGCGAGCAGCCGGGCTGGGAGAGCCCCATCTCCTCCGGGCACGGGGCCACCACGTGCACTGGTCCTGCTGGATGTGGTGGGAACACACTGGGGCAGCAACTGCCCAGCATCACTGGGGTCTCGGAGGTGGCAGTGGTGACCTGCTGCAAAGTGTCACGCCAGCCCTGGCCGAGCTGGCCGCCAGCAGACACCGTCCTGCCGCGGGCAGCTTGGCCAGCTTGGCTTGGCCTGGCAAACAGCCGTGGCTCCTGCAGGGCTCACTGAGCCTGAGGCTCTGGGAACAGCTCCTTCCATTGGGCTTTTATTTTGGTCTCCCTGGCTGCTGTCGGGCAGGAGCCAGGTGATGAGACAGGGTCTGGCAGCAGCTCTGCTGAGGGGAGGCTTGGGATGCTGTGGGAGTCCCAGCCTCAGTGGCAGGACCTTTGGAGAGGGGAAGGGGCCGCTCTGTGACCACACAGGAGCCGGGGCTGAGTGGGACATGCCAGCAGGATCTTTGCCAGGTCACCTCGTGCCCCCATCCCGAGCCCCTCTCACCCTCCTTCCTCTTGTCCCCGCAGTGGTGCACGCGGTGAGCGCCGAGGACGGGGCCCTGCAGAACGGAGCCCACCCCCTCAGCTCCTCCGAGGTCGACGAGCTCCTGCACAAGGCGGACGAGGCCACCCTGAGCGAAGCTGCCGGGCGCCAGACCCCAGCCAAGGCTGGCAAGGGGGGTGGCAGCGCCCCGGGCAGCCAGAAGCCGACGCCACGACGGGAGATCACGGGGCTGCAAGCGAAGGTGCCACCGGGCGAGGGGACAGAGCCCAGCCAGGAGCAACCCGTCACCATGATCTTCATGGGCTACCAGAACGTGGAGGATGAGAACGAGACCAAGAAGGTGCTGGGGCTGGAGGGGACCATCAAGGCAGAGCTGGTGGTGATTGAGGATGCCGAGAGCAAGCCGGAGCCGGCACACAAGGACCACACGCCGCCCAACGGCACCGCCCTGGAGCCGGCGGCCGCCCAGGCGCTGGGCGAGGAGGGCGCGGGCGGGCAGAAGCCGGGTGCCAACGCCACAGATGCCAAGGAGGCCGAGCAGGAGACAGACGTGAAGAAGCAGCGCTGCAAGTGCTGCACGGTGATGTGAGCCCCCGCCGGGACACAGCCCCTCTTTCTGCAGAACCGGGGAGATCCAACGTGGTGCCAACGGGGCCGCAGCGGGCAGCGGCCAGCCCCATCTGCCCGATGCCAGCCCCGTGCCGCCCCCCACCAGCGCTGCCTGTGGTATTTATTAGTGACCCCCCTCGCCCCACGGTGCGCCCGCCCCATCACAGCCCCGCCTCGTGCCCACCTGCCACCGGCAGCGGGGCCTTTCCCTCTGTCACCGACACCGTCCCACCCGCCGTGCCGTCGGAGGATGGAGCCGCCGGGCAGGGGGTCGGAGGACGGCACCGTGTCCGTGGATGACTCCCCGGGAGCCGCCACCAGCGGGACCCACTCTTGGCCCAGCCCACGGTGGGCATCGGACCCAGCCCTGTGCCAGCCCCTCCTCTGTGCCTCCATCATCCGCTGCTCCAGCGGGGAAAGGCCTGGCTCTGCTGGCCGCTGGCTGCCCGTGGACATCTCTGCTCCATCTCGTGTCCTCGTCCCTGAGGTCCCCAAGCTCTCGAGGACAGGGCGTGTCCAGGCAAGGGCATCGAGGGCAGCGTCCATCCCTCCCTGTACTCGGCTGTGGTCATGGCCAGGGCCACGTGGGGCTCCTGCAGGGTCAGCCCAGCCTGTCCCCAGGCCTGCTCTGCTCCTCCCGGGCTCAGCTCCAGGTGCTGGAGCCCCTCGCTCTGGTGCTGGCAGTGACAGCCATTCCTCTGTCTCGGCTGCCAGCCGGTGCCACTGGGCTCTGCCAGCTGAAGGGGCTGAACTGTGCTGTGGGCAGCGCCCGTGTCCTGCTGGGGCAGTGCCAGCAGGGAAGGGCAACTTGGGGGGCCCAGCCTTGTGGGGCAGGAATGGGGTGGGGGTCCTGTGCTTCCTCGTGGCAGCAGGAGTGTGGCCCAGCATCCTGTTCCCTTCCTGCCTCTGCTGCTCAGCAGCTTTGCAGAGCCACGTTCTGGGGTCCTGGGCTGCAGCTTTGGGGCCCCCAGGGGAGTGGGGCAGCCCAGTTCACCCCAGTACTGGCACTGGGAGCTGCCAGGGGTCTGGTGTCCCACAGAGGGCAGCCTCCCTGCTGCCCCACCCTGCACCCCAGCCCTTCAGTGGGGATTTCACCACCAGCACCAGCGTTTTCTCCCCACTGAGACCAGCTGGGGCAGGCGGGAGTCCCCCATTTTTTTTGATCCCCAGTGCCCACATCAGCTGCCCCTGTGCTGCAGCAGCTGGGCTGGCAGTGCTCACATACTTGCCCAGGAGCTCTGGGCAGGGTGCAGCCACTAGTGAGGGATCCTTGTTCAAGTGTGAGAGGGTTCTTTCTGCCGTGAGGCTGGGCAAGTCCCCAGGATCCCCCAAAACGTGTGTGGAGCAGCATCCAAGCTGCCCAGAACACTGGTGGTCGAGCAGCCAGGGACAGGGCTCAGCTCCCCCAAGGATGGGCCTTCCTTCCCCCACACTCCCCCTGTGTGAGCAGTGACAGCCCCTGTCCCAATGACATCCCCGTTGTCCCCCAGGTACCACCCAGGCTGCAGTTTTCCCCCCAGTAGAGTCATTGCAGGGCTCAGGGGGGGAGGGCTCGTGGTGCTACCCCTGTCCTGAGCTCCAGCCAGGCACCCACAGCCCCTGGGAGAGGCAGGGCTGAGGAAGGGGGGCTTTGGGAGGGCACTGCCAGGGGAAGGGGGGCCTCTCCTGCCCCATCCACTGCTGGGCATCGCTGGAGCCCCATTGCTGCAGAGCAGGGCACGGGCTGGGTGCCACAGGGCATCTGCCCCCGTAATCCTGGGGAGAATGTCACCTCTTGCCACCCCACATCAGGGGCCAACACCACCCACCCCGTCCCACCCTGGGCCCTGCAATCCCCCCAGCCCCAACCTGGGGCTCGCTCCCTCCCCCCCTTGGCACCCCCTGCCCCTCGGTTGGCTTTGACCCCCAGCCCAATCTGGCCCCGGGGGTGGTGGGGAGCAGGACCAGGCCCCGGGCCGGGGCTGGGGTGTGAGAGGAGTGGGCGGTGGGCCTGGCATCGTCCCCCCCCCTGCCCCCCCCCCAGCTCTGCTGAAGTGCACTTCCCGTTCCCCTGAGCTTTTCACTTGTGCCGAAGCCGTTTGAATTCCCTTCCCTTTCCCATCCCATCCCCACCCCGTTGTTTGTAAAACACCCAAACCGAGCAAATAAAACTGTGTGAACAACCAGCCTGGAGCCACTGATGGCGGGGAGGAGGCTGGGCTGGGGATGCTGGGAGCATGGGGGTGGAAGGTTTGGGATGGGTTCTGCTGCTCCCTCATTGTGTGGGCAGAGGATGTGGGGAGGAAAAGGATGAGGGGTGATGCTGCCCAGGTAAAGGGGGCATGGCCTGGTTTCCTGGATGCCCCCAGGTGCCACCACCACGTGGCCGTGGGTCTTGGTCCATCCCCAGGCTGGTGCAGGTCCTGCTCCTGCCCAGGGCTGGGATTCCAGGGCTCTCCCCTGGGGCAGTGGGGCCTCAACCCTTGCTGGTGCCAGCCCAGGTGCCAGCACACGCCCTGCGGCGGGCGTGGAGTGCTCCTGGCTCCTTGGCATCACCTGTGGACTTTGGCTCAGCCCCAGGGTAAAACAGGCTCTGCTCACCTGCCCGGAAACGCAGAGCAGCCACAGTCACCAGCGTCCCCAGGCCAGCCAGTGCCAGCCCCAGCGGGAACGGGGGCACCAAGGGGGTAAGTGGGAGCCCAGCACCGCAGCTGGGGTGAGCTGGGGTCTGTCTGACACCAGTGCCGTGCTGGGGCGGCAGCAGGGCCGGGAGGGGCTCCTGGCAGGAGTGGGCTTCAGTGGGGGCAGAGAGGACGAGGACAGGGATGTGCCACAGGGACAGGGCTGAGTATCCTGGCACGGCATCTCCCGCTTGGCTGTGACACCCCGTGCCAGGAGGGAGGGCAGCTCTGGGCACTGGCAATATCACCCACTCCGCCGGGATCCAGCCAGGTCCAGGCACCAAGGACACTAAGGACACTGTGCCCAGCCCTGCCTTTATCCTGGCAGGTGCCAGAGCCATCCAGAGCAGTCCCCAGGGCAGGAGGGAGCTGGGACTGGCAGTGCCAGGGCTGCTGTGGCAGCGAGGACACCCGCCTGTGCAAACACGGGGTTATGGCAGGGAGGCCCCTGGTGTGCCAGGGGAGCTGGGGCTGCTCCTGGCTCAGGGCTCTGCTGCTGTCCCCTCCCCTGCCGTGTCCCTCCCTGGGGGGACAGCAGGACACGCAGGCTCTGGCTGAGGCTTCAGGGCTCCTCAGTGCCGTTCACGGAGGGGCAGAAAGCGCTGGAGCAGGGTTGTGGCTGCATGGCCACGCCACCGTGCCCGTGCACTGGCACACGGGTGCGTTGGCACGTTGGTGCACGGGGCACCAGTGAGTGCCACGGCTCAGAGCCAAGGGCAGCCCCCCGGGCGTGGGACCAGCCAAGGGCAGCCCCCCGGGCATGGGACCAGCCAAGGGCAGCCCCCCGGGCCTGGGACCAGCTGCAGCAAGGTGACGACAGCACAGGAATTTGGGGAGCACTGAGCACTGAGCCCAACGTGCTTCTTGGAACTGCCCACAGCTCCCTGGTGCTGAGCTTATCAGGGCCTCGCAGGCGCCCTCCCTCCCGGCCCCCCACACCCCAGCGCTGCCCCCCCGGCCACGCCCCGGCAGACACAGCTCGGCTGGGCGCCCCGGGGGCATGGGGACCCCTGCCCCGACAGCTCCATGGACAGTAAGTGCAGCGTGCTCGGGGGCGAGGGCAGTGCCAGGCACCGGGGGGACGCCGTGTCCCCCTGGCCTCGGAGGGAGCGGTGCCCGCTGCACTGAGGGTGTGCAGGGGGGGCTGGCGCTGCCTGGGGTGGGCAGCAGAGGGGCATGGACACGTGCTGGGATGTTTGTGTGCATCAACCCATCTGGGGGCAGCCCTTGGCTCAGGGTGGGCACGGGGTGGGCGCACTGCAGCTCTGTAGCCCTGTGCAGAACCCCCAAGCTGGGGGGACCCTGGAAGGTGCCCCAGATGTCTCCTTATGGGGGGGGGGGTGTCCCAGGCCAGACTGGTGGCAGTGTCATTGCTGTGCCCAGCACCTCCCACGGTGCTTGGCTGGGCCGGGGGCAGCCCAGGACCCCCGAGCAGGACCCCCTGCAGTCCCACAGCAGCAGACAGAGCTGAGGAGGTCAAATGTTTTGGGTGCAGCTCTGGGAGGGGCCGTTCCGCTTGCAGGGAGCCCTGATAAGAGCCCAGCTGGTTTCTGTGTCCCTGCTCCCCTCCTGTGCCAGCTGCCAGCGCTCCCCACTGAGGGGGTCCCCTTCCAGCCGGGATTTCATCCCCCCCAAACATGGTAAGAGGCGTGGGGCAGAAGGTTTTCATTATCCTCGTCACTGGGGGCAATAAAAGAGCAAGAGTGAATCACAGCAGGGGAATTAAAAGGTAAATTCAGCCGGGCACAGCTTCAGGAAGAGAGGCTGAGCCACCAGGGCTGGGCACAGGGCTGGGCAGCAGTTCCAGAGGTGAGGCATCGCCTGGGGCTGACCAGGATGTCCCAGCTAATGACACCCATGTGCTCCTGCCCCAGGAAAGGTTTAAAAAGCTCCTGGCTGGGGCCCAGCCCCGCTTGCTTTGTGGGAGGGAGGATGGTGCATCCCGGGAGGGCTGGAGGTCCCCAGAATCGCTGCAGGAAGGAGGCAGGCACCGAGTGCTCTCGTCCTGGGGATGAGCCAGGATGCTCCGGATGCAGGGAATCACCGGGCACCTGCCTCCTCCTGGGCCTCATCCTGAGCTGTGCTTGCCAGGAGCGTGGCCCCCAGGCTCTGGGCTGCCCCTGCTGTCACCGTGGCCTTGCTCCAGTTTTGCTGTAAACTCCCAGGAGACCGTGAGTGCCCGGGAACGGTGCCCAGCGGTGACACACCCTGACCTGCTAGGGCTCACCGGAGTGACAGGTGACGGCAAAGCCGTGGCTAAACCTCAGCAAATAGTGGCACAGGACGTGCTGCTGGCTCCAGGCACATCCAGCTTGTCTGCAGGTGACATGTGTGTCACCAGCTCTGGAGCCAGGGATGGCATCTGCGATGAGGTGGCAGCTGCTGTCTCATGGGGGACCCACCTGTGCTGCCCCTCCCTGTCTGGCATCCGCTGTTCCAGCTGGCTCTGGAGGACTGACCCCAGGGCTGGGGCTGTTCCCTCCTGCCCTGTGTGCCAGGGGGGTTAAAGTCCCCTCGCTTTATGAGCCATGAAACTGTTTTTATGACCCCGCTGTTTCTGGAGCTGGGCTATTTGGAGGCTCCTTTCTGTAAATGGCACAGGAGGATATTCCATGCAGGAGTGGATTCCATGCAGGAGTGGCCCAGGCACCGGCACCGCCTCTCCCTGCCCGAGCTCCCTCCCTGCCCTGTGCACGTGGAGAGGCCCGAGGCTGTCCGTGCCCAGAGCAGTGCCCAGCTGGATGTGGTGCCACCAGGAGCTTGTGCAGGGTGCCTGTGCAGCACTGACTGCCTGGGCAGGTTTGGCTGTGCTCCCTCAGAACCCGGCCAGGCTGGGGGACAGAGGTGGGTGGGCTTCTGGGCTCTGTGGCAGCTCCTGTTGGGAATGGTGCTTTGTGCTCTGGCTGCTCCTGCCCCACACGGGCAGGCTGGTGTGGCAGTTTCTGTCCCATGCCAAGGACAGTGGAACCAGGCTGGGAGAGGGGCTGCATCTCACCCTCTGCTCCTTCTGCTGTTCTTAATGGCTGCTCTCCCCTCCTGCTTGCAGGGCCAGCCAGGTCGAGACCCTTGGCCTCTGCTGAATTGGGACTCTGAGGGTGACCTCAAAACTGAGCAGTGGCCCCTGTCTGGGACAAAGTTGGCACAGGAGTGACTCTTCCCAGGAGATGGACAGAGTCACCAGGCACCTTGTGTTCCAGCTGCCACAGGCCTCGCACAGGCACGACTCGCTGGCAGACCTGAGGGCCAGCAGCGATGATGACGTGTTCAGCTCTGCTCAGCACAGCAGCCAGAGGGTGGAAAATGGCTACAGCTGGAAGAGGAGGTCCCAGTCACCCTCGTATTTCCTGGAAGGTGGAAGAGATGTGTGGACCCCGTCCCCGGACAGGGAGTCCAAGCTAGAGGTGGTGAGATCGGGAAGCCTGTACGACCTCCGGGCTTACAAGGGTGAGAGGAAACCCTCGAAGCTCTATGATGATGAGGAGCAAGACCTGTACAGGGTCCCTCCACCCAACATCTCACCTGAGAAAGCCAGGGAGCTGGAAGATGAGAGGAAGGAGGTCATCCGGAGCCAGGTGATGAGGAAAAGCTCAACTATTGCAGAGAGGTGGAGCTCCATGGATGAGCTGGGCTCCATCAGCACGGGCGTGGGCAGCCAAGGTGAAGGCAGGCACACAGGCAGTGTCCCCACCAGCTTTGCCATCTGGTTTGACAAATCTTCCCCAGGCAGGGCTGCAACGCCCGTTGACCCTGAGAATATTGACACAGAGCAGATCAACTTCTCTGCGGCTCGGCAGCAGTTCCTGATGCTGGAGAAGACCAACCCGGGCTCATTTTTCAGCCCAGGGCAGCAGGCCATGTCCCCAAGGCCAGAATCGGTGACAAAAGTCTCCAGAGAAGAGTGGTACAGCCCTGAGATGGCCACAAAGGGTACAAGAGGCTACAGCAGTGCTGGTGCATCAAGCCAGAGCGGGACAGACAAGAGCGTTTACCAGGTTTATGGTGTGTCCTCATACAAGACACCCCAGAAAGAGGAGGTTTATGCTCCCAGAAAAGCTCACACAGAAAGGTCATATCCCATCGGGAAGACCTCCATCCTGACCAAAGCAGGGTCCAGAGAAGACCTGGACTCTGGCTTGGGTGAGATGTATAACGAAGCCACTGCGGGCTATGCCAGCGATGGAAGCACCTCCAACGAGACCTTCCATGTGGATCTGAGGGCCAGCAGCAATGGGCTGGGCAAGGAGACGAGGGTCAGCAATGAGACGCCCATTGAGCGGGAGATCCGCATGGCCATGGAAAGGGAGGAGAACCTCTGGAAGGAAAGGGGGATCCAGCGGCTGACCTCCAGCAGCGAGCTGGTGGAGATCCAGACCAGGCCTGTCCTCAACATTCACACGTCTCCCGGCCCAGGCAGGAAAGGGAAGGACAGAGGCCGCGCTTCCCTTTACGTCCAGAGGGAAATTGAACAGGAAACGAAGCGTGAGGAAGATCTGAAGAGGCAG